TGATCCACCCTTCAAGTAACAGCTGTTAAGCATGTAGTACATGGTAGGATGAACCTGACTTCAAGCAAGCACTTGATCCACCCTTCAAGTAACAGCTGTAAAGCATGTAGTACATGGTAGGATGAACCTGACTTCAAGCAAGCACTTGATCCACCCTTCAAGTAACAGCTGTAAAGCATGTAGTACATGGTAGGATGAACCTGACTTCAAGCAAGCACTTGATCCACCCTTCAAGTAACAGCTGTTAAGCATGTAGTACATGGTAGGATGAACCTGACTTCAAGCAAGCACTTGATCCACCCTTCAAGTAACAGCTGTTAAGCATGTAGTACATGGTAGGATGAACCTGACTTCAAGCAAGCACTTGATCCACCCTTCAAGTAACAGCTGTAAAGCATGTAGTACATGGTAGGATGAACCTGACTTCAAGCAAGCACTTGATCCACCCTTCAAGTAACAGCTGTAAAGCATGTAGTACATGGTAGGATGAACCTGACTTCAAGCAAGCACTTGATCCACCCTTCAAGTAACAGCTGTAAAGCATGTAGTACATGGCAGGATGAACCTGACTTCAAGCAAGCACTTGATCCACCCTTCAAGTAACAGCTGTAAAGCATGTAGTACATGGCAGGATGAACCTGACTTCAAGCAAGCACTTGATCCACCCTTCAAGTAACAGCTGTTAAGCATGTAGTACATGGTAGGATGAACTTCAAGCATACAGCACCTGCATAGAGCATGAAACTGCTTTCAAGCATACAGGATTAATCTGTCTTCAAGCATATATAAACTGCCTTCAAGCATATAGCTATAAACTGTCTTCAAGCATACAAGATGAATCTGTCTTCAAGCATATAGCTATAAACTGCCTTCAAGCATATAACCATAAACTGTCTTCAAGCATATAGCAATAAACTGCCTTCAAGCATATAGCTATAAACTGCCTTCAAGCATATAGCTATAAACTGCCTTCAAGCATATAGCCATAAACTGCCTTCAAGCATATAGCCATAAACTGCCTTCAAACATATAGCTATACACTGTCTTCAAACATATAGCTATAAACTGCCTTCAAACATATAGCTATAAACTGCCTTCAAGTACATAGCCATAAACTGTCTTCAAGCATATAGCTATAAACTGCCTTCAAGCATATAGCTATAAACTGCCTTCAAGCATATAGCCATAAACTGCCTTCAAGCATATAGCTATAAACTGCCTTCAAGCATATAGCCATAAACTGCCTTCAAACATATAGCTATAAACTGTCTTCAAGCATATAGCTATAAACTGCCTTCAAGCATATAGCTATAAACTGTCTTCAAGCATATAGCCATAAACTGCCTTCAAGCATATAGCCATAAACTGTCTTCAAGCATATAGCCATAAACTGCCTTCAAGCATACAGCTATACAATGCCTTCAACTCTAGAGTCTTCAAGAACATATCATGAATATGCCTTCCAGCGTGCAACCATATACTTCCCTCAAGAAACATATATACTGCTTTCAAGCAGTCTGTAAATAATCAAGCCTGGATCAGACAGTCCAGTGATTGATATCATGAGCATCGATCCACGCAATTGGGATACGATGACATGCATCAACCAAGTCAGCAAGCATGGGTTGCTGAAGACATATTCTGCCCTGGATCTTCAAGGGTCTAAGCAGCTGTGGCTTTTATGCACTGGCAATAAAATGAGTGTTTAGGCAGTGGGTATGAAAGGTCAGCAAGTCTGACCACCCGATACCATTAGTCGCCTCTTACTACAAGCATAGTCGCCTTCTACAGCAAGCATGGGTTGCAGAAGACCTATTCTACCCAGGATCTTCACAAACTGTAAGGTTTTACTAAAGTACAGGGAATACGATAGTGGTTGCACTGAGATCACTTTGTGCAAGTGTGTGCTGGTGACCTTACAAAGGTGGTGAGGTGAGGTGAAATGGGGTTTAACGTCGCGTAGCCATGTGTGTGTGGCTGCTTGTACTAGTCCGGACTGATGCCGATTATTAGTGCTAGGCCACTGAGATACCATGCCGCAGTTTAACATGAATACCCCACTCAGACACAGTATACTGACTCCTAGGCGACCAGTCCGAGCGCCAGACAGTGTAACAACAAGTACCATCTTTTAATGTCTTTTGGTATTATGCGATCAAACCCCGGACCTTCCGCTCTCCGGGCGGACGCTCTACCACTAGACCGCGGAGGCGGTCACCTTACAAAGGTCCTGTGTTCCAGGTGTGACCAGTTTTTCAGGTTCAAAATGCAGATTTGACAAGGTATGCAAAAATAGCTTTTAGATCACACATGCTCATGTAAACAAATGTCCATCATATGTTTTACTGCCTCTAGTGTGAAGTATTTTGACAAGTAGTCACATGGGGATCAGAATAGTCAGCATAACTTCATCGGGATAATGTGTGTGCTGGGATGGTCATAAAGTCAGTATCTGGGGCTTCGCAGATCTATTTTAGACCCAGATATTTAAAAATTGCAATTACATCATCAACTGATGTATTTTGTTGATAACTGACATGTGAAGGATTAGGTATGAAGAGTGAATTTAACATTTATGTCACTGCATTGATGCAATGTTGTCTGGCAGGAAAATTAACCTGGAGACATTTCGAACTCAAATAGTGTCAATGCACTGTAGCTCACCTGCATATGTAGCCAACAGTTGGAAAAATAAAGACAGCAATCACTGAACAATAGGTGCTGTCAGCATTGATAATCAAATACGGTTAATCTTGAAATTAACGCGAGCGGGAATTAAATGCGAAAAATACCAGTGGTCTTTGTTCACATTGATGAACTTTCGCATTTATGTCTCCAAAATGACTATCAACAATAAGACGGCCTCACTGCACCCTTTGGATAGCGGAAATACCAACTTGAATACAAACATAAACACGGTTTATTGAGCAGCAGTTGTAACAAGTATATAACAATGTCATTCAAAGAATAGGAATTACACAATAGGCATCCGGTGAGTTATCACTGCTGGGGTCAAGAGTTCTACCCATTCGTGTCAAACTAGGCCAGGTATGTTACTGCTTACAGTGAAATATTTTATTCAATTCAAAACTATGCATTTTAAGGAATATAAGTGCATTCAAACCATAGAAAATTGAATTCAAACCTCTTGAACAACTTCAGGAGTGAACAAGTATGTGAAGTCGCAGATTCACTGGCTTCCCAGGTGATGATGTTTACACTGGACGATGCATGATAGACGAACATGGATCTGTCAGCAACTTCATCCCCAGCAAACATTGCCAACTTCTAGCATCTCATGTAGATACAAACTATTCATGATGTTTAGTTTTTTTGGGGGTGGGGTTTACACATCAGTCCAGTCCAGCAATAATCAGCAGGAAATAATCAAATTTGGGCTAGCCAGGTGGTCGATAGCATGAGCAACGTCACACGTTGTCAAGGTGACACAGATTTACAGAAGCCTGATGATCTGATCACCATTTAAGTATACACGCATAACAAGTGAGTGAGTGAGTGAGTTGGGTTAAACGCCGCGTTTAACAGTATTCCAGTTATATCACGGCATGTCAGCTTAATGTGGGAGGAAAGCCTGAAGTGATGCAGGTCCCAGACGTTTACCACTTCGATGAAACCCATGAGCACGGGTATGGTGCTGACAAACCTAGAAACATAATCGGGGCGAACTGGGATTCGAACCCACAATCATAGGTTTCTGGTGTGCCCAAGGGACGCAACTTTGCACAGCGAATCGCGGCGCCTTAGACGACTGGGCCACCCGCACCCCCTCCACTCATAACAAACTTGAGATACTGGGGGCCTCTTCCAAATTATCATAGCAAGAGCTTCCCGTTGGAATTCCCATATGCCGCAAGACTATTCGAGTTATCTCTTACATGTCTTAGGAGGAGTTAGAAATGGGTTTTAACGGTGCATTCAAGATTATAGCACTTTGATTGAGATGCATGCCTACATGCATTTGTTATAGTACTAGCCCACTGAGATATGATGCTGCAGTTTAACATGGATACCGCTTCAGAGCTGACCACAACTTGTTTTATCCCATTAATGCCAAGCGCCAGGCAGGGTAACAACAAGTATCATTGTGCCATCACAATACCATCTAGTAGCAGTCACGTGACTGTCAGGTTTCAAGGTATTGGGTAAAGACAAGATATCAGTGAGCAATACCTTTGTAATATCATAATTTACAGAGGATGTCACATGAATGTGTTTTGGTACAGTAAATATTGAGTGGAAGGAACAAACATTGTATTTAGGAAGCCTTTTATGGAAGAAATAAACGATGAGTGGGAGTTGGTTATCGTACAAGAAAACACTGCAGGGAGAATAAATAATGAGGGGCGAAGCCCTGAGCGGTTTATTATCCCTGCAGTGTTTTATTGTATGATAAACAATGACCACAAGTCGTTTATGTCCTATATGAGATATCAACATTATTTACAGCCTCTTTAAGGATGATGATAAAATGTACGCCCTTTAAAAAATTTACCCGTATTATATTAATGATGACTCCCTCAATAGAATCCGACCTCGGCAATGTCGGACAAGTCCATTTTAAGCATAGGTTGCTATTTCCCGCATATTCTCACAATCCTCACATCGATTACCTGTACCTCTTCTCCCAATACGCATTGTCATATCTCTCCCTCTTTTGGATGCAATTATTTGGCCATCACGTTTATCTGTGTTACCCAGCTACAAATATAGGGAACAACTTTATTCTTCTTCTTTCAGTGGCATCTTTATTCATCATTGTTCTTTGCTTTTTTTCGCGTAGCTATCTTATACAGGCAGTTAAAAGCCATATCAACAACTGAGTCCCATTGTCTCGGGTCTCCTGGTCCAGACCCAACACTGGTGATGGTTGGAGATATGGAGATTGTTTAATAGCTGCCTCACCTTGTCTCGAGTCGCCTGGTCCAGACCCAACACTGGTGATGGTTGGAGATATGGAGATTGCTTAATAGCTGCCTCACCTTGTCTCGAGTCTCCTGGTCCAGATCGACGCACTGGTCAAGCGGCATGCCCTCCACAAACTCGGTGGTCAAAACCTGGGATGCTGTTAATTCCTCTATCACCTCAGGAATGTGGAATTCTGGGTGGTCTTTCAACAAGTTTCTGGAAGTGTCATCATAATATATCTTACTTCATAGAAATGGAAATGAAATGTCCTATATATGCGTTTAGAATTCTATGGCATTTCTGAGTACATTAATATATCTCACTTCACTGAAATGGAAATGAAATGTCCTATTATGCTCTGCACCTGAATCAATGCTGTGTACCTGAATCAATGCTCTGTACCTGAATCTATGTGTACCTGAATCAATGCTCTGCACCTGAATCAATGCTGTGTACCTGAATCTATGCTGTGTACCTGAATCTATGCTGTGTACCTGAATCTATGCTGTGTACCTGAATCAATGCTCTGTACCTGAATCTATGTGTACCTGAATCTATGCTGTGTACCTGAATCTATGTGCACCTGAATCTTTGCTGTGTACCTGAATCTATGTGTACCTGAATCTATGCTCTGCACCTGAATCAATGCTGTGTACCTGAATCTATGCTGTGTACCTGAATCTATGTGTACCTGAATCTATACTGTGTACCTGAATCTATGCTGCGTACCTGAATCTATGCTGCGTACCTGAATCTATGTGTACCTGAATCTATGCTGTGTACCTGAATCTATGCTGCGTACCTGAATCTATGCTGTGTACCTGAATCTATGTGTACCTGAATCTATGCTGTGTACCTGAATCTATGCTGTGTACCTGTGTACCTGAATCTATGCTGTGAACCTGAATCTATGCTGTGTACCTGAATCTATGTGTAACTGAATCTATGCTGTGTACCTGAATCTATGTGTACCTGAATCTATACTGTGTACCTGAATCTATGCTGCGTACCTGAATCTATGTGTACCTGAATCTATGCTGTGTACCTGAATCTATGTATAGCTGAATCTATGCTGTGTACCTGAATCTATGCTGTGTACCTGAATCTATGCTGTGTACCTGAATCTATGCTGTTTACCTGAATCTATGCTGTGTACCTGAATCTATGTGTCCCTGAATCTATGCTGTGTACCTGAATCTATGTTGTGTACCTGAATCTATGCTGTGTACCTGAATCTATGTGTAACTGAATCTCTGTGTACCTGAATCTATGCTGTGTACCTGAATCTATGCTGTGTACCTGAATCTATGCTGCGTACCTGAATCTATGTGTACCTGAATCTATGCTGTGTACCTGAATCTATGTATAGCTGAATCTATGCTGTGTACCTGAATCTATGCTGTGTACCTGAATCTATGCTGTGTACCTGAATCTATGTGTACCTGAATCTATGCTCTGTACCTGAATCTATGTGTCCCTGAATCTATGCTGTGTACCTGAATCTATGTTGTGTACCTGAATCTATGCTGTGTACCTGAATCTATGTGTAACTGAATCTCTGTGTACCTGAATCTATGTGTACCTGAATCTATGCTGTGTACCTGAATCTATGCTGTTTACCTGAATCTATGTGTACCTGAATCTATACTGTGTACCTGAATCTATGCTGTGTACCTGAATCTATGTGTACCTGAATCTATACTGTGTACCTGAATCTATGCTGTGTACCTGAATCTATGCTGTGTACCTGAATCTATGTGTGCCTGAATATATACTGTGTACCTGAATCTATGCTGTGTACCTGAATCTATGCTGTGTACCTGAATCTATGTGTACCTGAATCTATGCTGTGTACCTGAATCTATGCTGTGTACCTGTGTACCTGAATCTATGCTGTGAACCTGAATCTATGCTGTGTACCTGAATCTATGTGTAACTGAATCTATGCTGTGTACCTGAATCTATGTGTACCTGAATCTATACTGTGTACCTGAATCTATGCTGCGTACCTGAATCTATGTGTACCTGAATCTATGCTGTGTACCTGAATCTATGTATAGCTGAATCTATGCTGTGTACCTGAATCTATGCTGTGTACCTGAATCTATGCTGTGTACCTGAATCTATGCTGTTTACCTGAATCTATGCTCTGTACCTGAATCTATGTGTCCCTGAATCTATGCTGTGTACCTGAATCTATGTTGTGTACCTGAATCTATGCTGTGTACCTGAATCTATGTGTAACTGAATCTCTGTGTACCTGAATCTATGCTGTGTACCTGAATCTATGCTGTGTACCTGAATCTATGCTGCGTACCTGAATCTATGTGTACCTGAATCTATGCTGTGTACCTGAATCTATGTATAGCTGAATCTATGCTGTGTACCTGAATCTATGCTGTGTACCTGAATCTATGCTGTGTACCTGAATCTATGTGTACCTGAATCTATGCTCTGTACCTGAATCTATGTGTCCCTGAATCTATGCTGTGTACCTGAATCTATGTTGTGTACCTGAATCTATGCTGTGTACCTGAATCTATGTGTAACTGAATCTCTGTGTACCTGAATCTATGCTGTGTACCTGAATCTATGCTGTTTACCTGAATCTATGTGTACCTGAATCTATACTGTGTACCTGAATCTATGCTGTGTACCTGAATCTATGTGTACCTGAATCTATACTGTGTACCTGAATCTATGCTGTGTACCTGAATCTATGCTGTGTACCTGAATCTATGTGTGCCTGAATATATACTGTGTACCTGAATCTATGCTGTGTACCTGAATCTATGCTGTGTACCTGTGTACCTGAATCTATGCTGTGTACCTGAATCTATGCTGTGTACCTGAATCTCTGTGAACCTGAATCTATGTGTACCTGAATCTATGTGTACCTGAATCTATGCTGTGTACCTGAATCTATGCTGCGTACCTGAATCTATGTGTAACTGAATCTATGCTGTGTACCTGAATCTATGCTGTGTACATGAATCTATGCTGCGTACCGGAATCTATGTGTACCTGAATCTATGTGTACCTGAATCTATGCTGTGTACCTGAATCTCTGTGAACCTGAATCTATGTGTACCTGAATCTATGTGTACCTGAACCTATGTGTACCTGAATCTATGTGTACCTGAATCTATGTTGTGTACCTGAATCTATGTGTACCTGAATCTATGTGTACCTGAATCTATGTGTACCTGAATCTATGCTGTGTACCTGAATCTATGCTGCGTACCGGAATCTATGTGTACCTGAATCTATGTGTACCTGAATCTATGCTGTGTACCTGAATCTCTGTGAACCTGAATCTATGTGTACCTGAATCTATGTGTACCTGAACCTATGTGTACCTGAATCTATGCGTACCTGAATCTATGTGTACCTGAATCTATGCTGTGTACCTGAATCTATGCTGTGTACCTGAATCTATGCTGTGTACCTGAATCTATGTGTACCTGAATCTATGCTGTGTACCTGAATCTATGCTGTGTACCTGAATCTATGTGTAACTGAATCTATATGTACCTGAATCTATGTGTACCTGAATCTATGCGTACCTGAATCTATATGTACCTGAATCTATATGTACCTGAATCTATGTGTACCTGAATCTATGCCGTGTACCTGAATCTATGTGTACCTGAATCTATGCGTACCTGAATCTATGTGTACCTGAATCTATGCGTACCTGAATCTATTGCTGCATTTGGCCTCCCTGTTATAGTCGACCTCCCACGCCAGCTCCCTCCTGGCTACAGTCATCACATTCTCCACGTACATCCCTGCAAGAAAACCAGTCATCAAAGACAGTTGTCTGAGGCATCACACTTCACTTCCTTTAGCTGTGCCAGAAACCGAAGATTACTACTTGGAACAAAATATGGTGTCATCATTGCCATCATAAGGATAAACATACAGGTCCAAGTTCAGCTCCCTCCGACATGCAATTCCAGAGTAGAAGTTTATACAGCCAAATATGCAGTTTGAAACAACATGAAGGCAAGGTCAACGATGGTCAAAGAATGAAACATGTGTAGAATCACAGAACAATGAAACAAATACCACATTTTATTACAGTTTCTACAAAAATGGCACAGTAACAGCCATAAGATCTTTCAGCTAACAGTATGGTTCCAGGTGCAAAAGTCAAAGTCAAAATTTAAAATATTGCCAAAAACAGAGCATATATGCTGAGCCCTCCTACAAACTACACATATGCCAAATTTCATTCCATCGGAGTGAAGATGGTTGAGTAATGAACACAAATAGACTGTTTAATGTGGCCGGCATACTGTTTATTGTAAATATGAACCTCTTGAGCAAATTTTGGTGTCATCATTGGTGGGAACAGGCATGCTTCATCTGTCCAATGGTTTCTGAGAAGATGTTTACAGACATCAACGATGCCGACTTGACTTCAGTCAGGTGAGCTAAATATCTTACAATCTGACTGGCTTGTCACTGTTTCACAATAATCCATGCATGTCATCTGACAGCAAGGAGGTCCTGGTTTCCTGTCACAGATGGCCCTGTCCACACTCACAGCGTGTCTACTGGAGGTCAACAGAGGGATCTGATATTGCCGCACAAAATACTTCAATGAAAAAAGTCTTAAACTCCCACTGAACCAACCAGCTTCTAAAATCCAACACACCCTGCTATTATCAAGCATGGGGATTACTGCTCCTTCTTTGATACTATGATACCATGATACCATGATACTACATGATACTCCATGATACTACATGATACTACATGATACTAACCGCCATCATATAGCTGGAATATTGCTGAGTGCGGCGTTAAACAACAAACATGATACATGTAGTAGACGTGACCCGTAATGGGATATCCTCAGATCTTTGTTTAGCGATAGCGGGAACTAAGGTCCGATTTTAATGAGATTGGCAAAGCCAGCTCCATCCACACTGTGGCACATTCATTAGCCTCCGAAGTTAGAGTGCGCAGTGGTGACTTAGCATAACACCACTGCCACAGGCCAATTTGCATATATCACGTGACCGGACTACTTACACTGGCGCATTAGTTGATGGAGGTCATTCACATGTATATCATGTGACCTAAACGTGGACTACTTCCTTGTTTTGTCAACAAACGCTAGCGTACAAGAAAATGGAAAGCTTTCAATCAGGTCTAGATGAGGTTTTGCGCACACATGGAGACATAATACTAAAAGTTCATCAGAGAGAAGCTCTAGAGTACATCTATATGCAAGAGCGTGACTGTATAGTATGTCTTCCCACTGGTTACGGGAAATCTTTGATCTTCCACTTGCTTGCTCCGCTTCTACGATTTATTGCTTAGTTCAAAGTAGATATGCTGACTGCAGTACTTGACAGGCTGTTGTCTAGGCCTAGGATAGCATACACTAAGGTTTGTAAACCTCTCAAATGGCAGATATTTGACAAAATAACTGGTATGGCCATTCTTTTCAGCAAATGGACTATACACTAAACATGTAATAGAAAATGTCAAAAAAGGCCCACGAAAAGGATCATGGCGAAGGTGGTAACATCTTTGCATCAATGACAGGGTCGAAACAAACCAGCTTCATGAGCCAGGCACTCTTGCTATGACACGCTTACATTCAGTAGTAGAAACATGGAGAAAGGTGAAGGTTACCTTCAGGTAGCAGGTTGCCAACTCGTAACATCGCCATCAGGTTGTTGATGTCACTGTCGATGCTCTTGGCCACACCCGGGTACTGAAAATAGTCATTAAACACACTAATGGTTGCTTCTCAATCACATTAAATTCATTCTCATTAAACAAAGATCTGAGGACATCCCATTACGGGTCACATCAGAATGACCTTTCACGAGCTTTGACCGACCACTGAAACGACTAACAAGAAGTCGACATCAGCCAATTAGAAAGCAGCTTTCTGGAGCTTTATGGCACTCATATCAACCTGGCGACTTCCATTTCAGACTACGCTTGAAAAATATGTTGACGCAGTTCTCGAATAAAATTTTAACTACGACTTCAGATCCCTATTGGAACATAAAAGCAAACACTGCCATACAACCAACAGAACGGTGCCAGTGTAGATCAGATATCACTTGACATAAGCATGATAAATAGAAAGGCCTACTTTTTCAATAACAATGACTGTGGTCAAAATAAAGAAGAAATTAAAAAAAAAATAATACAAGTAAAAATGAATCGGCAGAAAGAACAATGAGTCTTCTCAAAATGTAAGCCATAATATAAGAAATATACTCAATATGTAGTCCGACCAAACGTTCATGCTTGTATCGTATTGTGACCTTTTAGAAGCACAAGACTCCTCTTTCTATAGATTTTATAAAAAACAACATGGAAAAGACATTTGTACAATTACAATTACGACAAAACTCTAACAACCAAGTCACTAAGTCTGACCATCCATTCCGATCAGTCATGTCACACAACCAGCATAGGTCGCTGGGGACAATTTCTGACCCAGAATCCCCCATATCAGACTAAATAATGTCAAGTACCATATTTTCTTGAGCATAGTGCACACCCAAGTATAATGCACACCCCCCTCCGGAGGATGCAATATTTTGGGAAAAAATATTTTTCGAGTATTATGTGCAGTCAAATATTTTTTCGACACGTTTCAGATACAGTCATCATATCAAAGGTGAGCTGAGAACGTGGACCAAACATTGTTGTCATGTGTACATTGTGCCACTGTATGAACAAAGGCAACTGCCCCTAAAATAAATATAATGCGGTCGGATGTAACTTACATCCGAATTGACTCCATGAACTTTGACATATGGTTACCGTATGCTTACCCCTTACCAAGATGGACCGTAACTCGGGAGGAGCAATAACCACTAAAATCTGGTGATCAGTTAAAAAATGCCCCCTCTATATAAACACATTAATTGAAGTGACGGTCAATTGTTTTGATATCAATTACAGAAAACCGGGTAATTAAAAAAAGCCTGTTTGAAGTTATTTTTAATAGGCCCTAAATAATCTATGCAATTGTACTATGACAAGTTCTTACTCTAACTTTGGCTTCCTCTCAGCGGCTTACTTACAATAGAATTACCGGTAGAGTTTGAGTAGATCTGTGAGTAGATATGTGAGTAGATATGTGAGTAGATCTGTCAATGATAAACTGGTTTGTGTCTTTGATATCAACATTCGTCACAGGGGTGTCCACAGTTAAATGATCCATCAATTTGGAAGGCCATGGAGTCAACATCATCACAAATATCAGTATCTTTCAGACATCACTAATTATCTCACGTTACATTAAAATTCTAGCTTCTGATTGGTTAAGGAGCGGGCAATTATTTTCAGTGTTCTGCTCATGAAGCCTGGTTGTGTAGCCCACTGAGGAATCAGTCAGAATAAATCTTAGGTAACTCGCATATCTTGAATAAGTTTAGCTGAGTGGAAATGAACCGATGTTTATCCTAATGCCAGGGTAAAGGGAAGTAACTCAGTTCACTTACGTCGTTTGATACCAGTTTTGTTAACCCATTGAAACTGTGGACATATATTCCGGACCAGTATGTAGGAATGTCGGTAAGATAAATTCCTTGTCAACCAATCGAGGCATACAGTGTGATGTACCCTGAGTGCGAGACTATGTACCTAACGGCTCGGGATACGTAGGCTCACACACAGGGTACATCACACCATATACCCTTGGGATCAGTTGACACCTTATAATTTAAATGTGCACAGCTACTTTTGCTTTTCAGCATTCAAATAACTACCTGTATTTTCATGGCTATCTGACGTCCATCTAGCAGTGTTCCTCTGTGCACCTGGCCAATGGAAGCCGCAGCGAATGGCTTCTCATCAAACGTCTCCAATTTACTTCTCCAATCAGATCCCAGTTGTTTTGTCAATGCCCGCTGTAAGAAGAGGAATATACACTTTGTACATCACGGCTGCCTCGTGACTGGTATGCAACTGGAGAGCTATGACTGTCATAACTCATACGTTAACTTTGTTTCAAGGTTGTTTAAGGCAGCTGTCTGCAATAACAAGCTATATTACATCCAGTGTTCCTGCTGGCTTTTGAAACTGCCTGTCCAGGTGGACTGGCAACTCTGAAAACTACCAGTCCCCCCTAATTATGCTTGTCGTAAAAGGCGACGACGGGATCGGGTGGTCAGGCTCGCTGACTTGGTTGATGCATGTCATCCATCCCAATTGCGCGGATTGATGCTCATGATATTAATCACTGCATTGTCTGGCCCAGACTCGATTATTTACAGACCCCCGTCATATAGCTGGAATATTGCTGAGTGCGGCGTTAAACAAGAAACCAATCAACAAAAAAAGTCAGTCCCGAGCTTTCAACAAATCAAAAACGATATGAAAGTTTTATTCTTTCAAAATCATGTTTAATGCCATGACATCATATCTGAAGAAACTCAGATAGATCTACACGTCATTCACAAAAAGTTGTGAACATTCTCATTTTTTTAATATTTCGTGTCTAAGTTGCTAGAAATAAAGATTTAATTTCATAGAAAAGTGAATGTTATTTCCTTGCAGTAAAAACAGATGGGGAACCCTGATGGACAGACAAACTGACTTCGTTCGAAAATATACTAATATGAATATGGCTAATGTTTTGTTCTTCAACAACAAAGATTTATAAGGTACTTTATTTGCCAGTCCACAGGGACTGGCAGTCACATGAATTACCGGTCCATGCCTAATTTAACCAGTAAAAAACTGTTAATTACCGGTAAGGGAACACTGACATCTGCCAGGAAATCATTGGTTTGAACCAGACAAACAAATCAATGATTCTATGAGCAACATCTGATGCTTTCTGAATGACGGCACACAATGAACTATGCCACCGAATGTTAGAGTGTAGGTTCGAATCCCGGATAGGACCCATCCCCCAAAAGTAATAGAATTTGAACTTCATTAAGAAAGTGTTGTCCCAACTATAACATATGACCGGGTCCTACTCGTACCCACCCAACCCGAGTACTATTAATCAAGTGAATGCTGAACGCCAGACAGGGTAACAAAAAGTACCATCTTACAACATATTTTTGCTATGATGTATCTTCACGAATTCCTCCCCTGCCAAACTAGGCTGGAATTATGGTGTTTTATTGTGGCAGAACTAACAAGTTTATGCATAGTCCAATCAAAATCGCATAACGAAATTGACATCTTGTTTATAAACAACGTAAGTGCTGTCGCACAAATTTCTATCAAGTGCAGGATTTGAGTATGTGTACCGTAAACTGGGCATCGACAGATATTTTCCAAATATTTTCATTTTTTCAATCATGGTGCTCAAATTGGTTGGTTGGTTGGTTTGTTGTTTAACACCGCACTCAGCAATATTCCAGCTATATGGTACTCAAGTGATTTGATGCACTTCGCGAAGTAAGACCCGTTTTATTATAATAAAGATCTTGATTAACCATCAGATCCTCTTGACTAGGAGCTGCCATTTTGTTTGAAGCAAATGTATTGATTGGTCAATAGGAGGGTCATGGAAGGGACATAACAAGTAATTGCCACTGGTGGCACTACGATCAAGCCACAAAAGTCAGTTAACTCCCTTGCCTCAGGAAGAAGGGTATGATGCGATCAGGATCCAACCACCAAACCTTCTATACTCCAGGCAAATGCTCTATCCACTAGACCACAAAGGACAGACGCCTAGGCCTTTGCCACACATTTCTTAATATTGTTTACAGATTATTTTCTCACCAAATAGCTTGGCTTGGTTGACACAAAATTAATTTTGCAAAGTTCAATTTGTTTAATATTATTTGAAACTGAACTTATCACATTGGTCGTTTTTTATGGAAAAAAATATTTTTGCCAGGTCTGTCTGAAATACAGGATGCTTAACATTTTGACAGAAACAGGAATATGTCAAATTTTTGTCATGGCAGACTTTGTTGTGTTGATAAGGTGCTGTGGCTAGAGACCCCAATAGAATGTATTTCATCAATCATTACTGGAACGTTAATTTTATGGATACTTTTATGGTGTGTTCTTTTTATTTTTGCTAATCCAATTACGACAGAGATGGAAGACATTAAAATATAAATTATTTTATGTAAATTGTGACTTAGTTGAATCTTCAAGCCAAATTATTTTTTTCAAATGTCACCTTACCCGCATCTGGGATGAAGGCATGAAATCTGCACTTTGCCGAACTCTCTCAAAAATCTTCTGTAACTGTGGATTAATGAAGGAATTGTCTGGAAAGAAGAAAACTTTGCCATTAAACATCTTGCCATCCCATCAGGACAACACTCGACAATCTGCATGCAAGGCAGTTTACTGATCAAGTTTGTCAAGAATTATCTCCCCTTGACCAGCACAAAATGCTTCATCACATTACATTCTAAATTCAATGGTGGATAACATGTTCCATCATACCTCCATGTCAGAATGAGGAGAACTGATTAGCCTTGGAGGGAAATGAATTTCTCAGCGGGAGAAAAAATCACTTATACCCCGCCACTAACAAGTCTGGCTGCACATGGATTTCTGAGAGGCAGAACAAATCTCTTATACCCTGCCACAAACACGTCAGGCTGCACATGGATTTCTGAGAGGCAGAACAAACCCCTTATACCCCGCCACAAACACTTCAGGCTGCACAAGGATTTCTGAGAGGCAGAACAAATCCCTTATACCTCGCCACAAACATGTCAGGCTGCACATGGATTTCTGAGAGGGAGAACAAATCCCTTATACCTCGCCACAAACACGTCAGGCTGCACATGGATTTCTGAGAGGCAGAACAAATCCCTTATACCCCGCCACAAACACGTCAGGCTGCACATGGATTTCTGAGAGGGAGAATAAATCCTTCATACTCAGCCTTCAAAGCAAAAAGCCGCACGCTTTTTTCTGAGTCAATGAAAGTCACGTGACATAGCACAAGTTAACCTCAGCTCAATCAAATAGCTATCAATTTTGAATTTGTCCCAATTTATTTACATGTCATAATATAACATGTCGGCAAGATTAGTTTGCTGTTGCAGCATATATTAACCCCTTTAATCCACAAAACATTTGTGACTTTCATGACACATCACTGACCTGAGCAGGGGCGGTCAGGTAGCCTAGTGGTAAAAGCGTTCGCTCGTCACGCCAAAGACCCGGGTTTGATTCCCGACATGGGTATAATGTGTGAAGCCCATTTCTGGTGTCCCCCGCCGTGATATTGCTGGAATATTGCTAAAGAGCGGCGTAAAACCATACTCACTCACTCACTGAACTGAGCAACTAGTCCTTAGACTTATATACTCATGACCACAAGAACAGTGGGTCTAGGTACATCTCTGGACCAGAAACAAACACATCTACAAAACATTTTTTGGTTTAATTTCTGTTTTAAACAACAATGAGATGATATCAGAAACTTGTGTAGAAATACTGTACAGGTTTTGACACATTAAATTTAGAAAACACCAACTTGAAATATAAGTTTCACAAAGTTAATACTGCAAATCTTGAAATTAATGTGAACGTGACTTAAATGCGAAAAATGCAAGTGGTCTGCGCTCACATAATTAAATATGGCATTTACATCAACAATAAGACATTTTGGATAGCAGAAATACCAACTTAGACATACGCTGAAAACAAACAACTATGTATTCCACATCACTGTTAATGGAGCAGCACTTGTAACAAGCCTATAAACAATGTCATTCAAACACTATTTACATGACACGAGCCAGCACGCATGTATTGTTTTCAGCGGAAGTACTCTACTCAGCGCTAATAAGCGATGCTATTTTGTGTGTGATTGGATCAATGAAAGGTTGGATTAGGGTGAGGATTCTCCTGTAAACCTGACAGAGGACATTTTCTTAAGATAGGAATCCACTGATGCTTAAGAGGAGGGGGTGTCGCATTCATATTGAGTCGCGTTTTTGGCTAGGGCCAGCGGTCGCATTCTTTTGGAGACCCATTTATTTCACGATTTACAGTATGTAACTTACAAAAGACAAACCGACACACAGACAGACATGCTGTTACATGTTTATATCATGTCGCTGGTTGACAAGCCTACCTTGAATGCTGAGCATCTGGCCAAGCTTCAGCGCTGCTCCCCGCACGCGACACAGTGTATTGACGATCCTCTCCGCATTAGCCTCGGTCAGGAAGGGGCTTGAGTCCAAAATACCTTGACCTTTGGCAGCATCTGAAACAACAAGCAGCAGGAAGTGAGTGAGTGAGTGAGTGAGTGAGTGAGTGAGTGAGTGAGTGAGTGAGTGAGTGAGTGAGTGAGTGAGTGAGTGAGTGAGTGAGTGAGTGAGTGAATATTGGACATGACCCTTGATCTGTAAACTGAGATGCGCCAGTATTCAAGTGTCAGGAATCACTGCCTCAACTACCAGACAGAAGTGTTAACAATGTGTATCTATTTCATTGTCATTTCCAAAGATACTTAGTTAAATATTCTTGTTGCATTCTTACTGTCATCCATGATGCCCAGTGACCTCCGTGCGACCTCGGCTATGGCTCCGGCCCCAAGACCAGCTGCCAAACCTAGACAAAATACAAGCAATTACTGGTGAATAAAACGATGGAGAAGTTCAAACGATATTTGACTTTTCAATCTCATCAAACATATTACCAACTGGTTTTAAATAAATGGGGGTCATTTTGACAGGACACGACAGAGGTCTCCTGTAGTGCTTTCCCTGTGTCAAAGAAAAAGATGAAATCGTAAATCAATTATCATTCTTAGTGATAAAATCCCAAGTGTGTGGATGTCACCAATTCGTGCAGCCATTGCTAATGTCAATCAGAACGCGGGGCGGTCAGGTAGCCTAGTGGTTAATGCATTCGCTTGTCAGGCCGAAGACTCAAGTTCCATTCCCCACATGGGTACAATGTGTGATTCATTTCTGGTGTTCCCCGTGATATTGCTGGAATATTGCGAAAAGCAGCGTACAACCATACTCACTCACTCAATCGGAACGTTGTTTTGCAGGTGAAACATTGTAACCCACTACACTGCAACGGTTCACTATTACAAGTGATGAGATGGCGTAAAACAACATTCAGGTCCCCCGCCAGAGATCAGAATTTCTGATACTGGTCTTCCTCTCAGAAACCCTTGGTAAATGCAAACATTTCCTATTATTTTGTGAGCTTGGTAAGCTGCTGACACAGTGTTGATGGCTGCCATATAGGTAGCCACCACACCGCCCCACAGATATCCAGATTCAAAAAGGACAATTTGAAACTCGAAATCCATATCCTGTGAACATCAGGAATGTGAGCAGGTATTCCCCCCCCCCCAAAAAAGAGGAAAAGTCTAGGGGGGTTCCCAAACCCCACCCCCCTTCGTGCAGTTTGGCCAACATTCACAGCAAGAAATGTAAAAAGTCAATGGCAAACATTCATAACAAATGGAAAACATCTCTTTCACTTATTGGCTTAAAGACAACTTTATCTTAAAAACAAGCTATCATTTGAGCCACATCTTGATAGAAAACATATGACGTCCGAAAAACCTATGACCCGACGATAAAAGTATTGTGTCTCGAATAACCATAAAGGCATATATGATGCTGAAAGCTCTGATCGAAAACAGGACAATCCGCGACAGTTGTCCGGAAACATGATAATATTTTTCGGAGTATTTTTTTTTATATCTTTGATGATTTTTTCCGAGGACTACTGTTTGGAAAAAGACAATGGGATTTTCCGGGTTTCCACGATGCCTGAAAGATGTATAAGGGAAAATCAGTGCTTGGATCATCCATGTAAACTTCATTGGTTTCAAATGAGACAGCATAAAAGTATATGCCATTTGGTTCAGGTGAGCTAACAATGATTACTTGATCCTCACCAAATGAACAAACAAAACAATCTACTTCATGGAACAGTTTCACTTGACATTGGTGTCTTGATATCAGGAAATATTCTGCCAACATGCTGTATCGGGTGTCAAAGCTTGCAATGTTATCTTGCATGGTCAGGCAACACTTTTTTTTAGTTTTCAGCTCAGAGATTCGAGTGACTGGAACCAAAATCCACAGTTATGGATGAGTAACTTCTTTATTACAATTAGGAGTGATGTTTGGGTATAGAGTCTAACACCCTTACGAAGCAAATGACCTTGAACAGTGTTAGAACCATATGTTTATTTTGTTACTGAGGACTCCAAATCTCTGAAGATTCGTTAGAGAATAGGTCTTCAGCAACCCATGCCTGCCAAAAGAGGTGATTGTGCTTGTCGCAACAAATGGGATCGGGTGGTCATGCTTACTGACTTGGTTGATGCACGTCATCGTATCCCAATTCTGTGTATCTAAGCTCATGATGTAAATCACTGGATTGTCTTGGCCAGACAGGATCATTTACAGACCGCCGTGTTAAAGCTGGAATATTGCTGAGTGAGGCATTAAACAACAAACAAACAACAACAACTTAGTACTTTCAAAGCTTCTCAAAGAAGTTAGCTAAATTTAGTTTCTTTGCCAGGCATCTTCATTACCATATTTGATGGATTAGGTAAATAATATAGACCCGTGTGAGGATTGCTGGCTCACAGGATCTCTGTTAAAGTCCCTTGCCCTTGTGACTGAAGCATTGGGTTTTCTGGGCATCGACCAGCCAAATGCTAATTTTTATATAAAATTGTCAGGCAGCCAGACAATGTACAACTTGCCACAACATAAGCTCACTTTACTTTCAGTTTCAGTCAGCGGAGTTCAACATCCGTAGAGCCATACCTCCATAGCTGAACAATCTGCTGACTCGGGATGCTGGGACTCGCCGCTCCCTTGCTCGGGCACTCAACTGAAACATGTTTCAATAGTATTCATTAATAACACGCATGGGAGCAGTTTAAAGTACATTGTTAGACAAGACTAACTCCTCAACATGCTCAAGTCATACGCTCCAGATAAGTGGTGTACTTGCATTAAATACGCAAAATAAATTTCCTTTGCCTGATTAATTTTGAGTTGCTTGCTTACAAATACTCATAAAAAATTCAAATAACACATTACTCGGCTCAATTTAGCTGTATATTAGCCGCCTATTATTGAAAAATGCAACTAATATTTATGTCTACATGCACCAAGTGCATGTAAAAATAGAATTTGATTTTTTTTGTGATTCACCCTTACTTGTCCACACAACAATGATCTTTGAACACCCTTAGTACCTCTCAGCTTCGTCTACCATACTACATCACTAATCATGCTAATTCCTGTATTACCGTATTCAACGTAATAAGCGCCCATGGCGCTCTCAAAATTAGAAATAGGGGGCTCTTATTAGAATATTATTTTGGTGAAAAAAACAGAGTTGGAAGATAAATTTCGAGGTTTATGCTGACAGCCTGAAATGTTTATGTACGACAGATATATTTTTCCAGAATTAAATTCCCCATAATTAAGGGTTCCTATAACACACAAGTTGTATTATACGCGAATAAATAAGTCTTGTGTACATTGATTAATTGGAAGGGGTGCTAATTGGGATTGTTCACTAGCCAATATATTGGCAAATATCGCCATGGGCGCTTATTACGTCGAATACGGTATTTAGACTAGTTTATGCCTGTTTCAACTTGATAAGTTAATGGGAAAATGTGCAACCTGTATTTGTCTGGTGCAACTAGCTTTTCATGTAACAATTCACCTGGTGCAAGTTAACTCATTAAATCACACTCTGCACAAACGTATCCTTTTCAACGTGTGTACCTGTATTTATTTACAGCGCTTTATTTACTGATGGAGAGTAGTAATCACAGATATGCAGAGCTCCAGATAACTTTTTGAGCAATTGAGTTTTTACTCTAGGGTTTCTATTTTAGTTGGGTTATTAGATTTTTCATTGGGTAACCAAATCTTTTCACTCATCTATTCACCACTCTATTGGGTTTTTCCCAAAATTAGTGAGCATTTTAAGATTTTTAAAAAATGAGATAATGTTTTACATGTATATAACTGTTCTAAATATATAGGCTTGAATCGGAAAGTAAATTAGCTCGTAATTGTGTTTCGGAAATTAGCTCCTTTGTACGCATGCTGTAAAAGCTTCATTGGGTATTTATGCGAGCTGTTTTTATACATTTGAGTTTTTCATTTAATGCATGCATTTCTGTACGTAAGTTAATTTAAAGTAATTGGGTTTTTGAATATTTTGGGAGGGTATTTTACACAAATACGCTGCTTGTCGGTAGCTCTGCATATGTGAACTTTAATGTATTTTGCTGTTGTGAGTTCATGAGACATGTAACACATTTGGGGTAGCAAATGAACAAATTAGAAGTCACCCGAAACAGCATTTCAAGCAGAATTATTTAAGGGAATGTCTCCTTATTGGTGTAAAAATACCATATAGACTGGGCCCAGGGGAGTAAATTTATTGAATACCCCAAGATAACAATCAATACCCAATGTGAATGATAACATGTGAGTAAATACTGATGGCTTCAACAAGGCGGCTGAAACGTAACTGTAAAAATATTGACAGCACATGTCAAGTGCATGCTACTTCTCAATGATTTATAAAACTGGTTATCAAGGTAATGTGGCAAAGCTTTCAAGTATGTCAAGCAGATTGCCTTTTCCCACAACTTGTTTTCATACAGACCATAGCAATTCTACTTATTTTCAGGGTAAACAAATCATGAAAAGAGCTGAAAAGTTTGGAAATTTTGCATATGTGTTGATCTCTCAACATCTGTGAGTGAGTGAGTATGGTTTTACGCCACTTTTAGCAATATTCCACCAATATCAGGGCGGGGGACACCAGAAATGGGCTTCACACATTGTACCCATGTCGGGAATCGAACCCGGGTCTTTGACGTGACGAGCGAAGGCTTTAACCACTAGGCTACCCGACCGCCCCCTCAACATCTGTTTTTAAGGAATGAACGATTTTTGTCTGCAATTGGCATTTTGATCCCTCATGATTCAATAGTCATGATTATATTGATGTTACATTTCTATTGTTGTTTGACAGTTAGCAACATTCCACTATATGATGCCAGACTGTAAACAATCAATTCTGGACCAGACAAACCAGTGGTTGACAGCATGAGCAGCAGCTTCTACTGGTGGGATATGATGACAAGTACCCTATAATCCGCACCCTCTTCTACACAGCTGTATTTTTTGGAAAAAAAGTGTGCACTATACCCAAGAAAATACAGTAATCAACAATGTCAATATAGTCACTACATGATATAGTCACCTCTTATAAAAACCAATGCTGGTAAGCACTCTTTTGTGAAACCCATGAGTATGGTGTAAACAAGCCAAAATTCCAAATGGCGCAAAAAATAAATATCACAGCTTCCAAAGGATGCAATATATCCAAAAACTAAAGTATGTTTTCAATCATACCTTTGACATGACTTTAATTCGACATGAAGTTTCTTCGCCTTTTGTCAACATTGGAAGTAAACATGTTTGAGCAATTGCGTGAGTGAGTTGGGGTTAACGCCGCTTTTAACAGTATTCCAGTCACATCACAGCATGTCAGCTTCATGTGGAGTGATGCAGGTCTCAGGCATTTACCACTTCGGTGAAACTCACGAGCACGGGTATGGTGTTGACAAACCTAGGAACATAATCGGGGCGAACCAGAATTCGAACCCACAATCATAGGTTCCTGGCGTGCCTAAAGGACGCAACTCTGCACAGCGAATCGCGGCGCCTTAGACGACTGGGCCATCCGTGCCCCCTTTGAGCAATTGGGATATAATAATCATATCATAACCTCGAAAGCCTTCAGTTAGTATCAGTAACGATAGGTTTAGCAATAATTTCTGAATGAATTGGCCGTTGCAATGTAACATGGTTTGATTGGCTGGTATAATCATTTCTTTAACTCTGACGGGAAGAATGAACTCATTGAAGAGTGAATAAATAACGTGAAAATCGAAAATGTCACATTATGTGAATATATAAACTGAAACTGGAAATTTAAATTCATGATAGACAGTTAAAAAGATAACTTTCTCTAAGTTTTTACGTCATATTTCAAAAGTATTTGCATGTCCCCTGGTTTCATGAAATGTCCCCAATCTGTAGGGGTCATTGGGCCCCACTTTTCCAGTTTCTGAAATGAACACTGCATGCAAGTCACAGGCATGACCATTCATCATCCTCAATCCTCCTTAGTGAGTGAGTATGGTTTAACGCCGCTTTTAGCAATATTCCAGCAATATCACCATGATCACAGCGGGGGACACCAGATATGGGCTTCACACATTGTCGGGAATTGAACCCGGGTCTCAGGTGTGACGAGCGAACGCTTTAACCACTAGGCTACCCGACCGCCCCTAATCCTCCTTAATTCGCTCTTATGACAAGCATGAGATACTGAAGAGCCAAGTATTTCAAGAAAAAAAAGGGGAAAAAAATCAGCACGAATCTGAGATTACTTCAAATATGAAAACACTGCCCTACCTGCTGCTGTGGGTTTTGTACATGTGAAAATTGCACTTTGGAAGGTGGTTTAACCGTTGTAGGCGTTTGTTTGAGATCTTGGGTATCCGATTTCCCTGGAATAGTGTCCTTGGCAACAGACTGTGGACGGCGCTGATCAGGATTTTCTGCAGCATCTGTGGAGACGCTGTCACTGCTGCCATCTTTGTGGGCCGTCTGTGTTGAGAAGTCGAGGTCCTCAGTCGCTGCAGACTGGATGATGAAATCTTCAGACAAACTGGAATCACTTGCTGAAAGATCTGAGGTAGACGTTGTCTTGGGAGGAGGATCACGGCCACGGACTCTCTCCATCACTGTTGATGTTTGAGCTTTCACGGTCTCCACAACATTTGCAGCAGATCCCGAAAACTTGGAAATTGTTTTCTTGATGTTCCTCTGAAACATGGAAACAGAAGATGTTCATAATAAGTCTGTTCTGCACATAACCAATTAACATCTGAATTAAGTTTAACCAAAGTTTCACATCTTAAATTGTAGTTATAAATAGCTGGATTCCACAAAGCAATCTTACCACTTAGACAACCATAACTTCCATACTTTATCATAGACTTAAGACACGAAGATCACTTTGTGAAACAGGGGCCTGAAGCCTAAATGAGAAATTCTGAGCAGCTATGATTCAAGTTTCATGTACTTGACGTATGGGCTTCATGCGTTGTATCCATGTGGGGAATCGAACCTGGTTCTTTGGCATGACGAGTGAACACTTTAACCGCTAGACTACCCCACCGTCCCCATAAGCCATGACATATAATCCAGTCTGTATCAGGTGGGACCCTTGAAGATTCCGTGGTAGAAGAGGTCTTCAGCAACCTATGCTTGTCGTAAAAGGTGACTATGCTTGTCGTAAAAGGCGACTAACAGGATCGGGTGGTCAGGCTCGCTGACTTGGTTGATGCATGTTATCGATTCCAATTGCGTGGATTGATGCTTGTGATATTAATCACTGGATTGTCTGGTCCAGACTCGATTATTTACAGACCGCCGTCATATAGCTGGAATATTGCTGAGTGTGGCGTTAAACAAAAAACCAACTGTATCGGGTGGTTGACAGCATGAGCAACAATCTGCACCAGACAAATACAAAGTAGATATCATGGTGGTGTTAAATAAGTACATCAGCTCTGAGGTTGGCGAATGGTGATTTTCAAACCAGTGGTTCACAGGATGAGTGTCATAAGGGTACAGTGTCAATCAGGACACATACTGCAACAATCGAACCCACACTTAAGTCAGAATTTACACAACTGGGAACTTATTCAACCTTGGAATCCAAATGTGGTAAACAGTTAGCATTTCACATACACATCTGAATGTTTTTGAGAGGATGAACGTTCACAGGAGTTTGAGGGAAGGTTATTGTACATATTGTTGTGGCCATTATTGAGTAATAAAATGGCATCTCACCTGAGCCTCTTCAGGCGCCACCATGGCTGAACTGACCACATCTTCAACATTTATGCCTGCATCTTGTGCTGCGGTCCTGATGCTGGAGTTGGTCCACACTCTCTGGCACGCCTTCCCCTGGTGTTCAACCAGAGCCCGGGTGATGAACTCCAACCCTCGAATAAATCCAGCTAGATCACTACTTATCCTCGACATCTTACCTGTACGGTTTAGAAAAACAAATTTTGCAATTGAATTCCTACTGAAAAGCATTCAGGTAATTCTGAGTGACATCACATCTGCTGAGATGTATAGCTCATATGGCATATTTTACTATTTATTCAAGTATACAGTTAAAACAAGAAATTATTAAAGGAAAACAGACATAGTTATTGTAGCAGGTGTATATATTTGTATTTTAGTTTTTTTGTAAATAAATCTTTTTCAAGTTTTGTTTCTGTTGAACTATATTCAACAGAGGTGTGTTTTTATCCCATCATTCTAAGTCCAGCCCTCAGTGATCAATCACAACCCAAGCTCTACTACATTCTTTGTCCAGCTCTCTACTGATCAATCACAACCCAAGCGACCCTGTGATTGGCCAAATTCAAACTTTACCTTCTTGCTCTGACTAACTCCATATTGCCACCTTCACTATGCACTGCCCTGGGAGTATTTGTAGATCACCACAAAAGGTTAGTTTATAATTTGTCTTGACTTCCAAATAGGATTAAATAGTAATCAAAGATTAGGCATTATAAATAAGCATTTATAAGTACCTTATTATCATATTTACATTGAATCATATATTTCTATTAGTGTTGATGTTTTGAATGAATGTTTTAGAGGCTGAACGTAAGCAATAGTGTATTTTAATATTATCTTGTATACATACCAAGTTATATCTACATTAATGGAATTACACAAACTATGCATTTTGTTATTCATTTCATTGTATTTAGTCCCTCTAAGTATTTATTCCTGCTCTTTCTTCTGCAGGACATATCATGAACGGTGACATTTGAAGGATCTCACGTTTCACACCCTTGTGCCACACATCGGGTATGTGTAACCATTTAACTTAATATGTATTATAAGCCATTTCTATCATATCATCTAATAATATTTAGTTGTAAGTAATGTAACAGAAATGATTGCTTTGATGATTATATGACATAGATTATGTGTTAATATGCATATACTATATATATCATGTTTCTTATTACAGGGTGTCTATCATGATTATTCACCAAATAAACATAAGCCTCACACCCCATAGCCGTCTTCTGTATATATATTTAATGGATAAAGCCAAGAAAACCCGGTGACAATATCACTCTACTAGCAGCAGTAACAGAATCATGTCAAACAATGTATCCTGTAATCACGATTCTCACTGAGAAACACATCTTTATGCTCCTCAAAATTAACAAGATTTTCCCCCATTTTGTATCCGACAACATTTGTTGGAAAATCAATGGGTGCAGGCACCTCAGCAAAACGGCACCTATATCTCTTGCGAAAACGGCACCGGATTTGGCGAAAACTGCCACTATGTGTCGGGCGAAAACGGCACCTCTATTTTTAAGAACGATAACAACGATTTTTGTAGTAATAGATAGGGTTCATTTACATGGTATTTGATGTATTTACATGTCATTTGATGTATGTGATGTATTTACATTGTATTTCCTGTTTTCACAGGTAAGTAAATATGTTCATATATACAGTTTTGTGGCATGTCCATCGTCATCCTCTTCACAATATTGGTCCATGTACAACCGAACATTGTGAGAGTACTTGGGTCAGGGTGAGATCTCCATCTCCAATCCTATAGTTGGAGTAGAGACTAATTTCTAATGTAAACTTGTTTTAACATCTCACAATTTTTGGCGTTTGCAAGTTACAATGTAAGTTGAATATCATTTATTTGACCAAGGTAAAAAAAATAATAAGCTGAGGGTGCCGTTTTCGCTATAACCCAAAATCAAGTCATAACAGAAACAGTTTGTAAAATCTCAAAGGACCTTTCCTTACGTGAACGGACACTCCACATATCTCTGGTAAAATACTCTGTGATAAGTCACACATCACTGGGACTCGTTTGAACATATTGGTATAATATATAAGATCCTGTCTCACGACGGCATAAGTATTTATGTAAATGTATTAGGAGTTTCATTGATAGTTTCATGACAATTTTTTTTACCATCAGCTGATACTTACGAAGTCCTATCTCTCGAGCAGAATTCAACAGTAACAAGGACAGCAAACATTTACGTCCAGTGAACTTACGTTGCTTTGATATCCACAGACCAAAAGATCTACTGCAAGTCTTGTGTTTATTTCTTCATGTCAGCGTGTGTTGTCAGTCAGCATTCAGATTCACAGAGGTCAAAGAAAAATGCAGAGAAACTGTTCATGATTTGTCATTGAGTAGCATAAGCTGGTGATTAGATAAGATCCTAAGTGCATAATATGCCGGAGAGTTTATCTCAGGTATCTTGACATCAAATTTGTCACTCCGTTCATCTTAGACTACCGGTTACAAAACAAGCACGTTGCAGCTGATGACCTTCACCCCATGAACCAAAAGGTTACGACAAAGCGCCACCTACTGTAAACATTAACTAAGGTGGGTAACTCTAAATTCTCGTTATTGCATCATGCAGCTGTCAAAATGAATAAAAATATACATTTTTTCAACTTGCTTTATACTGCGCAGGTTACAATCAAGTAGCTTTTCTAAGATTTTTAAGCAAGAAAAATGTGTGTGTGTGAGTGAGTGTGTGGAGGGGGCTGGGGTGTTCTCATAAATTGATTCGTTATTTACAGAGACTTGTGTATTAGCGACTGTATAAGCAACGGACACAGACCTAGATCTACATACCAATCACCCGAGACAACTTCCAATTTTAATGAAACGTGTTCTGTTGTGACCTGTCTGTCTTGTTCTGTTGCGTACATCTGTCTGTGAACAGTACTGTAGTCGGGAAATTGTATAGATCTAATTTTCAATAGTTTTGCCTTCGAGATGTTGGGGCCATTGCAAAAACATATTTAGGTTGTTGTTTTTCCCATCAGCAATACTTACTTTTTTACACAGGGTATTCTGTATACATTTTTGTTTGATTGGGTTTCATTGGTTGGCCTGCTACAGTTAGTGACTTCCAGACTAACACAGTCAAGTTTAAGAGGGTTTCACTGTATAAGTATCTGTTAATTTTCTGTACTTCAATGAGGGAAAACGTGTTAAATCATAGTCAAGTGTTTCAGCGATGTTTGTTTGTTTGTTGTTTAGCGCCGCACTCAGCAATATTCCAGCTTTATGACGCCGGTCTGTAAAATAATCGAGTCTGGACCAGACAATCCAGTGATTGACATCATGAGCATCAATCCATGCAATTGGGATCGATGACATGTATCAACCAAGTCAGCGAGCCTGACCACCCAATCCCGTTAGTCGCCTTTTACGACAAGCACAGTCGCCTTTTACGGCAGGTATGGGTTTGTACAGACCTATTCTACCCCAGAATCTTTACAGGTCGTTCAGCGATGTGCATGTGTTTGTGTGACTGCTTGTACTAGTACAGACTGATGCCGATTTATAGTGCTAGCCCACTTGATACCATGCCACAGTTTAACATGAATACCCCACTCACAGGAAACTAAATTCAAGCAGGCAAGCCCTTGTTTTATTCCCTTAATGCTGAATGATGGGCAGGGTCAAGTACCATCTTTTAAATCTCTTTTGATGTGACCTGGTGTAACTGTCTCTTCAGCCAGACAGTCTACCCATCACAAGACCACAGAGTTGGTTCACAGTGTAGGGAAACAACCAAGAGAAGGCAAACCATTGGCAAATTATCATAGAACCAGCATGCAATGGCATCTGTATATATTGAAAACCTTATTTTCATATATACCATGCTTACATGCATCTCTTAGAAATATCAACGTGACATTGAGCTCATTCGATGAATGTCCACTTACAAACACATGCCGAGAAATTGGTACAAGAACAGTGTATGTTTCTCCAGACGGACAAGACATACAATACATGGAAGTAGTGGAAGCAATTAAAGAGGTATTCCAATAATTTTTACCATGAATCAATTACAAAACATGTCATTAGATAAACAAATTAAGCTTAAGTATTTCTAGTATGACCCTTTCTAAACAAAACAAAATTTGTATACTCAAAAAATTACTACATGGAGGTAAGTGGTGCTGAGTGAGAGGATGGTTTTACGCCGCTTTTAGCAATATTCCAGCAATATCACAGCGGTGGACACCAGAAATGGGCTTCACACATTGTACCCATGTCAGGAATCGAACCCGGGTCTTCGGGGTGACGAGCGAACGCTTTAACCACTAGGCTACCCGACCGCCCCAAGTGGTGCTTAGAATTTTTTAATGGTGTATATATATTGTATCATATTGTTTCCACTAATTACAAGTGCTGTGCCCCATTTGTCATTATCAGGATGTATGGAGATTTAAGGAGATCCAGTAAGTAATGTGACTTGTGAGGCAAGGTGAAATGGGGTTTAACGTCGCGTCCAAGATTATTGCACTTATATAGCGACGTGTGTGTGTTTGTGTGGCTGCTTGTGTACTAGTCCGGACTGATGCCGATTTATAGTGCTAGCTCACTGAGATACCATGCCGCAGTTTAACATGAATACCCCACTCAGACACAGTACACTGACTCCGAGCCGACCAGTCCTTGTTTTAGCCCATTAATGCCGAGCACCAGACAGGGTAACAAGTACCATCTTTTAACGTCTTTTGGTATGACACGGGCGGGGAATCGAACCCCGGACCTTCTGCTCTCCGGGCGGACGCTCTACCACTAGACCGCGGAGGCGGTCTAATGTGACTTGTGACAATGGTAACCCACCCTTCAGTTTTGTAAATGAGAAGTTTCAAACTGCAATGATTCTGTTGCAGCTAGGACAAGTCTGATATTTAATTATAACAATCGGGAGCATCAGGTGTGTAAGTGAATAGTTTGATGCCGTCTTAAGCAGTTTGTTTAATGCTGCACTCAAGTTTGAGGCATGATGACATGTAATTGACCAATCACTGAGATCCGACCAACTGATCCAATCAGTCACCTCTTACAAGCCAGGGTTGCTGGGACCTATATTCTTACCTGGAGATCCCACAGGGAGACAAGCCAGGGTTGCTGGGGACCTATATTCTTACCTGGAGATCCCACAGGGAGACAAGCCAGGGTTGCTGGGGACCTATATTCCTACCTGACGTTCCCACAGGGAGACAAGCCAAGGTTGCTCGGGACCTATATTCCTACCTGGAGTTCCTTCCCACAGGGAGACATGCCAAGGTTGCTGGGGACCTATATTCCTACCTGGAGTTCCCACAGGTATCTTAAGCAGTATTCCAGCCAGAACATATGTAGGGTACACCAGAAATTAGCATCACACATTTCACCCAAGTGGGAAATCGTTGACAGGTCTTTGGCATGACGAGCTATTGCTTACCCAATACCCCACCACCATCAAAAGTAACCATACTTGTTCCCATATCTGTTAATTTCGGTGTGCCTGTCGTTTCTATACACTGACCAGGCCAGTACATTCAAACCCCACTGTTGTGAACTCAGTACAAATCTGGCAAACTCTTACTATATCACCATTTTAACCCAGTTGTCTCAAGCTCAGCAGAGTTAATTAAAATATGTTGAAACATTCCCAGAACTCAAAATGTTTAAAAAGCACAACTTAGCACAAGAGAATTTATTTATTTTCAATAAAATGCAAACAGATGCATAAATGCAGGTGACAAATGCTTTTGTTTATATTTCTGATTATAGAAATACATTTGCTTGAATTGGCTGATTCTAGGTCAGGCAGTAATGTTGGATGTGTCAAACCCTACATAAGTTGAACTGTTCATCAGGTCGCCATGACAGTGCTTGTTGAGTCAATGTGAATCAGGATATTTAAATTTGCACAATGCATGCATTATGTCCAGGTCATGTTTCACACAGGCTGCTCACTTCACATCAGCAGAAATGATTTAACTGGAAACCATACCATTCAAGAAACATGGCTGCAGTGTAGGCAGTAGCTGTTTCTGATTACTAATAATAATGCATGTGAAATCAACACCTTAATTGTGTAGATGGATAGTATCATTCTGTCAGGATCACAATTCTTGGGCACAATCTCCATAACTTGTGTCCTGGGAATACATCACATTCCATGATTTATTAGAGGAAAACCCAGAAGAGAATTGTACCCTGCTTCTTTTAGCCATGTGATAGTAAAAGTGTATGGTCAGCTCTGCTTTGAACAATATATCGGTAATATTACAGCGTGTCAGCTCAAGCTGTTGGTCTTTCTTGGTGAAACCCATGAACACGGGTATGGTGCTGATAAACCTAGAAATATTCATGGCCAATCTAGGATTTGAACCCCAAATCACAAGTTTCTGGCACCGTAAACCTTAGATGACTGGGCCACCTGTGACCTCACCATGAATATGGTGGAGTGAGTGAGTTGGGTTTTACGCCGCTTTTAACAGTATTCCAGTTATGTTGCGGCATGTCAGCTTAATGTGGGACGAAAGCCAGAAGTGATTCAGGTCTCAGACGTTTACCACTTCGGTAAAACCCATGAGCACGGGTATAGTGCTGACAAACCTAGAAACAACTGGGGCAAACCGGGATTCAAACCCCCAATCATAGGTTTCTGGCGTGCCCAAGGGACGCAACTCTGCACAGCAAATCGCTGCGCTTTAGACGACTAGGCCACCCATGGCCCCGAATATGGTGCAGACAAACCAAGTATAAGGACAACAAACAAGCGTTTTCAGCGATGAAGACTTCAGCATGGAAAGTACTGTGGTACATGTTGTTCATCTTATCATGCTTGTACAAAGGAATCACAACAGAGGCATCATAAGCTTTGTTCAGCTTTATTGAACTTATTTAGAACTGCATATAATGACCAGGTAAGAGACATGGTATTTGCAGTCAATTAACGGGGCTGTGTCCATGCAAAGTCCATTCCCCAACATCCAACAAATTCATGTACACATTACATAATGCATGTTCACTTGTAGTCAACAATGTTCATTCAAGAACATGTCACAAATGATCACAATTTCAAGACTGATATAAATATGTATACATGCTGAAAAATGGCTCAATCCATGGTATATGCCATTTCCTGAATTCAAAACTATTGGAGGAAATATCACAGTCTAAGAATGATCTTTGATGATAATTTACAATCAAACACTGAAACTTAAAGAATGCTTATGTGTTATGTATAGTGCTTCAACCATGTCAAATGTTCTGTAAGTAAATATATTGTGCTCTGTATGCCCGAGAAGGACGATGTGACAGCTTGTAAGCAGATTTTAATAAATAGGTGGTATTTTCATGAACAATGTATGAAATGTATTATAAATAATTAAAGTCAAGGAACATGACACCTGGGCTTCGTCTGAACACAGCCCCTTTAAGTTGTAACAATGACAGCGAGTGATGGCAACTTGTCAACACTGCAGGTAACAGACAGCCAATTCATGATACAACAGCAAATGAAAAACAATGATACATACTAAATGTTACTTCCTAGCAAGCAAGGTATGAATTAAAAAATAAATAACAATCTTCAAATAAAATATATAGGTAAAATCTGTAGCCATGAATTGACGATGCTTTTGACAATATATGTATGTATATAATCATAATGCATGCATCTTAGAAATTGATGGACCTGAACATGTATATTTCATGTATGTCCCTACATAATGAAGAAATAGGCAGTCTGTTCCCTGCTATCGACATTTGAATTTCATTGATGTCACACACTGTGGCAAATACCAAGGCACAACCATGTGCACGTCTTGTGTACGTTTATGTACCAAATAAAAAGCTATAACAGGAGAGAGAGTACATAATATAGAGAGCCTCCCCTGACCAACACGCAGGAAAAAATAAATAAATAGGGTTCCCTCCCTTCAGTTAAACCTCCTACCACACAATTCCCAATTCCGAACCAACAAATCATTAACCGATTTAATAAAAAAGCCACAATCAGTGGCAGAACAACAACTCAGGTCAAACAGCAAATTGGCAACTTGGTGTCCACACCGGCAAATAGTGATGCATTAAAACAGTGATTAAAAAGCCCACAAAATACCATTTGCACATGCCATCCAAAAACATCAAAATGTTTTAAAATTACCATAACCAATCAAAACAAATTTCCACCCAAACTAATTCAAAGTAACATCTTCCTCTGTCAATTTTCTTTCTAG